TAAGCATCGTGCGCTTCGAACGAGGTCAAAGGCGAAATAACTTCCGCTACTCCCCAGTGTCTCGCAAGCTTCTTCGACGTCCGCGGCGAAGAACCGTAATCAATCTTTAATCCTGGAATGCGAGACACGGGAATCGAGCTTCTGCCAGCGCGATATTCCGCTCGTCGCCGCTTCTTCTCCCCGAGAACGATAAATGCATCGAAGCCGAAGGCCGGATGTTACGGTTCCCGCGAGCAATCTCGACGCCGAATCGGTCATTTCAAATAAATGGAGCGGCGCGACGCAAGAAAACCTCTCGCGACCGGTCATTACTCGTCGTTCCTCTTTCTGTTTCAGATTCTCCTCTCCCACTTCGACGCGTTCAAGTTCCCCAGCTCCGAGGTGGTGCAGTTCCGCGCCCTGGTCACGCCGTGCATGCCGACCTGCGAACCGGTGCAATGCGACCAGGAGGAGGCGACCGGCGAGCTGCGCTCGGTGATCTCGTACGGCAGACGCCGCCGTCGTCGCTCGACCGGCTCCGGCTCCCAGAACCGCGAGGATCTGCTCCTGGTGCAGTCCATCCACATCATGGACAAGTTCGGGTTCGAGCACGAGGGCAAAGCGGCGAACGCCAGCTCGGCGACCAGGGACACCGTGTTCGTCGAGAGCGAGGACGTCTCGTTCACGATGGGAATGTGCATCAATCTGGGCGAGGCGATCGTGGCCGGCACCGTGTTCCTCGTCGCGCAGATCGCGATCATCGCCGCGTGGACCATCACCTGGCAGAGACGTCGGCAGATGCTCAAACACCAAGAAGCCCTGTCGGTCTCGGTTTCCGTTCCCGGAATGCACTCCGTTCCGGGACGCACCGACAGCCTCTGTAAGTTGTACGACACCGGATATTCAGCGCGCCGTTTTTGAATACCCTTCGTTTCCTATCCAGCCCCGCCTCCCCCGTCCGCCTAGCCCACTTCCTCCTCCCAGCTCCGCTCAATGCTCCCAGACACTCCCCGAATCTCGTCTTCCTTCCACGCTCCGCGAAACGCCGCGAGTCTCCGGACAGCCACGCGGAAGAATCTTTCATCGGCGAACAAGCGTTTAACCCCTTCCCCGCTTCACCGGTCTCGACGCTCTCGAACGAGCGAACCGGCGAGCTCGCTCGCTCGGCTCTCGTTTCGAGGACGACGATCGGATCTATGCTTCGCGAACGCTTCAACGCAGTCGATCGGCCGGGATCTTCGGAAGAGGGGCTCTGCTCCTCCGCAGAGGAGCCGAACACTGTGCTAACCTTTTCCCCGCTTTACGGAGCGGCCTTGCTAATCGCCTTGTTAATCGGGAAACTTCGCGGGGGCGTTCGGTGAGCCCCGGTTCGACGCGCTACGGCGGATAGAGCAATTTCAACGACGTCGAACCGCGGAGTAGTACACCCGGAAATGGAAATTGCCCGCCTCCTCCGCGAGACTCCGCGCTTTATCTTCTTTACCTTGTATAAGAATCGCCGCGCGCGCGCGTGTATTATTCTCCTTCTCTCTGTTCACGGAGACGAACGGGACCCGTTCGATAGCTGTTCTCATTACTAAGATCTTCTAGTTATTAAAATCATGCACTGTATCATCCGGGAGCGAGATAGAAGCCGGATGGCTTGGAGAAGCCCTGCTGGACCTCTGCGATCGCGCTAATTTTCCACCGTTGCTCGCTGCACGCGCGTCGTCGGAGTTCCTTTCCCCACCGCCGGAAATGTTTATCGCGATAATAGCGGCCATAAACATTCGAGCCTGCGATAATATGGTTATTAATAGACCGTGGATTTTACGAACCCCCGGCGGATCCGATTATCCGTGATTCAACGCGTTGAACCTTCCAATATTTCCAGCCCCGCGGACGTACTTTACTCGGATATTCATTTTTCATCGGTCACGCGTTCGAAACGTGTTCAATTAAGCGTTTCGATATTCAGCATTCTCGATGCACGATAATCAAACACGCGGTTCTATCAACCGAAGATCTGGAATTCGCGTTGACCTCGCTACAACCCAAGATTTCCCGCGAAACCCGCTCGAGTTTAACGAAAGATTCATTCAGAGCTAAAACATACGCGCTCCCAGTATTCCCAAAGAACTCGACGTCCGGATTTTTTCACGTTCGAAACGAGAGCCTAAACGGCCGCGTAGGAGACGCTAATTACATTGTAGTAGCTCGGGGCAATTAGCAGTCGATCCAAGGAGGTGGGCGGCAGGTCCGATCGAACGTCCGGCGTGCTCCGTCATCCTTCATTCGTAATAGCGCATAATGTTCCGTCGTTTCTTGCGACGATCCCCTTCCCATCTTGTTCTACGCCAAGAGGCCTTTCTCCCCCCTGCTCCGTCCACCAGCCATCCAGCCACCCCACACTCCCCCTTGTCCGTTCGTACGCGAAACGAGACGGGACAAAGCGAAACACACGGGCCGTAGCGGGACGAGGTGTGGCGTGGCTCCAAAGGCGACGCGACGTGTACTTGCTACGTAGGGATGGAACACTGGCAACGGACTCTAATTAGCATTGGGAATCGAGCATGATTATGCAGATGCTCCGAGCGCGGGATATCAACAGGAGGGATATGCCGGGCCGATTGCGGGGGCGAGGGTCGGCGGGGGGCGCGGTCGCGGGAGCGG